ATACAAATATCAAAATAATAAAATAATACTAAGATAAAATAATAAACTAATAAAATAAAACTGTTCTATAACAATACTAACTCTTTTATATCCAAGCAATGATATTTAATACCACCTTATTTTTATATGCTGGCTTAGGGCTTTAAAGCAGTTTCTACCATTTAGAGAGTCTTTTGACCTTGAGATAAATCTGCTAAAGCCTTCCATACCTATGTTTAGACTGACTTAAACTTCAGTAACTTACACCTAGTCTGAGAACAAATACTTGTAAGCTGAAGCTGCTACTATTACCTACTTCTACCCTTATAGAGTTCACTTATACCCTAGCTCCGGTACTCATCCAATCAAGAACCCTTCTACTGTTTTATCAAACTTCCAATCCAGATAGTCAGTTTGGTCTACAAGTTATGTTAACCACTTTTTTACTGGCTTAACCCAAATACCAGCTTGTGCCCTTTTCCTCCAGTCGATTCCGACGGTCTGGTTGGTATAGTGCTCACCAAACACCTAGTCCTCATTCAGATCTGCAGCTTATTGGTTCTCTTCTTAGACTTTCCAAAACTGTTGAAAGTATATACTATTTCTCTACTCAAGACTTGCCAAGTGGATTCCTATTTGGGACAAAGTCTAACAGATTTACACAAGTCTTGAAGACTTATCATGGGTTTACACTGCCTTTTATCAGTTTGTATCTCTTTGTATAACTCATCTATTACACAAATACCTCAAGATCTTCTAAGTCTGTACTACCACTCCTGATTAGAGCTTGCGAGATAAGCCATCTGTTAGGTGATTATTACTCCTTGCACCTATTTGGTCTGACTATCATTATAGGATCTCATCCCAACACCTAAAATAGTCATTAATATACAGAAGAATTCGATTTTTCATCGTTGGTGGGAATTGAATTCTGAAGTACCACTTGGGAAGCAACAAGGACTCTGAGCAATATATAGATAGATTAGATCTAAGTTTGCTTATTTTAATATCAAATTTGCTTCAAAAATATTTATTTTTGATCAAATTTTGAAAAATTTACTATGTACAATATTTATTGAATTTCTTTTAAAATTTCTTTTTTTAATAACCTCTAACCTATCTCTGTATTACTCGGGGTTCTGAGTGACAACTTGACCACTTCACTAAGTCGTTACACTCTATTCTAATAAATTTTATTTTATTATTCAGATTTTATTGATCTAATGAAAAGTAATAGTAAAAAATTTAAAATTGGTATAAGAGGTTTAAACATCTATTATAATTGCAAATTTTTATTAACTTGCATTAAAAAAATTGCAAAGATTATTTTGTTTATCATAATATAGATTTAAACCATTTTGTGATATATATAACCTTAATGAAAGAAAGTATTGTAAGGTTATTTTATTAATGAATAGTTGAAAATTTTTTTTTTTTTTTAATCTTCACAATGTTATATAAAGGCAGATTTTTATTAAATATTTTAGATAATTGGTAAACAAGAGTATATGAAGCTATATATATAACTTTTGGTTGCCTATTTAAGTAGCCTATCCAAAGGTTCTATACTATATATTATACCTGTAATCCAACTAGAGAATTATCCATTTAAACCCTCTAATGTTCCTGGTTCTATACTATCTATCACAATTATATCAGCATATAACCTTATGCTGCTTCTTATTGAAGACCACCCAGATCGACATTTGCTATACTACTTGTATCCTAATTCTATTGATAACTTAGTAAGGTTTTTATACTACCAAGTTGTCCTAAAGAGGGTGTAGTATATATCTCTTAATCTTTTTATATCCCACACATTTTCAGATTAGGCTATGAATATCTTCTGTAGCAGCCGGAACTACTACTAGCAGTCAAGGCTAACTATTAAACCACACAATTCTAATATTTGGTACACTTGCAAAGTTTGTTTCAATCTCAATATCTACATCAAGTCTGTTCTTATACTGATCTCTCTCTAACTACCAAACCAGTTAGCCTGAATAGATTGTTGTATTTAGACTTTAGATGCCTTCTAATTTACTTTCCTTGGTTTCTAATTCCGTAGTATAAAACCTTTTCCTCTAGTGTGACTTCGGCAGCCAGGTTGGTAAACCCTTCTTGTTCCAGAATTTTTATTCAGTTCTTCAGTCTTTGGTTTCTAACTTTTCTGCAATATTGTCAAAGATCTTCACTACCTCTTTACTTGGGTTTTGCTAAATAGATTTCAACTATTTCAGTTCCTTAGATTTGGATCACCCAAAAGCTTTTATTTTGAGATGGTAGTACCAAGATTACAGGTGTTATATTTAACCAATCATCAAATAATTATTACTAGTACACAGACTTATTTTTCTAAAAACATCTCTGATGAGATTTGAACTCTAGACCTGTCACTTGGGGAGTAACAATTTAACTACTACTCTAAGTCACCACACCCTAATAGTTGAAAATTATTATTTTCAACAAGCAAAAAAGTTTGCTAATTCATGATAATCTATTTTAAAAGATATTGGTGAATTTGTAAAATTTTATCAGTATTGTAAGGTTCAATATTAACCTTAATAACTTGCATTAATTGTAAAGAGGTCTGTTTCCATTGAATAAAATTTATTACAAAGTTTACAATATCATTTATCACTAATTTGGATAAGTTTGTTCTAGAAAAGATACTTTTTTAATTGCTTTGGAGGATGGTTTGTTATTTTCATAAGTGTTTCAGATTCAATTGGATTTTGAAATATTGAGTTTAAAGAGGTAGGTTCAGTTAAATCAATAAGTTCTTCAAATGTATTGTCTTCATCTATTGAATGTAAAATTAAGTAAAAAAATATATATATAAAAAAAAAGAAAAAGTCGCATATTTATATCAAAAAAAAAATTAAAATAATAAATTGTCATATCACACCACATTAAATTAACTTTTAATTAAAAAAAGAAAGTGATTTTTTGTTCGTCATAGTAATTTTTTCGTCATAATGATAGTAATTTTTGTTCATAGTAACGATAGTAATTTTTGTTCATAGTAACGATAGTAATTTTTGTTCGTCGTAATGGTAATTCAAAGTCAAAGTTTATTACTAATCAAGCATTGCTCGTCTGATCTATTTCAAACTCGTTCGGAGCATAATTTTATAATGAAAATCATGTGATCGACAAAACTCGAGTTCCATTGGGTTCGGTTCTAAGCAGGGTCGAACTGAGTTCGGGCAAACAGGATAACATCACTACTTCTCTGGTGGCTACACGTATTTGTATGTCCTCAATAACACGCATATCGAAATAGCAATTTAAGTTTTCATTTTTAAATTGGTTTCAATGAGTGCAAAAGTTTTGAACAAGCGTTACATTTTAGATCTAGATGCAGTTAATTTTTTTTCGATTTCAAAATAGAGTATTTTGAAGAAAACCTTATATTATCTTATAGAAAACTTTATGGTAAAAAAAAAAAAAAAAAAAGCAATTAATTGCAATTAATTGCAATTAATTTTGTCAATGATCTGTGTCTTAATGACATATCTCTGATTGGATGAAATTTCCTTGTCATGAAATGACCCGCAAAAATTGGCGAAAGTCAGTTAAGATAAATTTTATTACAGATAAAACCTTAATAATTCTAATTCTAACGCTAATATAAAAAAAATGACTGATGATCCTTTGACCGAAGATACAGCAAATGTTACTTTCTTCAAGTAAACTTGGTAAAAACGTACGTAAACGCAAGAAATCACCGTCGCCTGATGCATCCTCAGAAATTGCTGAAGGTTCAGCAGTAGTAACAAAAGAACGTAAATTAGATCCTTTTGTACAAGGTACAAAAAAAGGAAAACACACGGATGATATTAGTGTCACCTTTTCTGCAAGTAAGTCTGCCATATCGTCAATATCTCAGGATGCGCAAGCATTGTTAGAAAAGAAACTATATATATATATATATAGCTTTTGTTAACAACTTTAGTAAGACTTTATTGTAACAAGATGATCATCAAATTAGCCAATAATAACAAAGCCTGTTATGCTGCTAATACTGTAATAGTATATAAACTAATCTAAAAATAGATGCGAACACGCACAAAATCTGGTCGAACAATAAACCAGTAGCGATAGATAACTATAGGCTATTTCATAAAGGATTGTATATAGGCAAATTTAAGCTCTAGTTTCGGGCCACTGCTTACTTAATGTTAACAGATACGTTCAATTTTCGGTTCAAAATAGAAGAAATACAAAATCAAGCGTAAGCGTACTCATTTATTTAAACATACGACGTACTTGTATTAATTTGATTACAAACAATTTAAAAAATCATAAGTGTGTACAATATATAAAAAGAGAATTGTAAAATGAAAAAACATGAATGAATTTACAGCATAAACTTAGAATAATGAGAATTTTCTACTAGTATCACTTGGCATCATCGTAGCAATTTTTATTTTACCAAATTCTTCAGGCGTAATTACCTTTTTACAAGGAAAGAACGATTAATTGGCGGATATTCTTGAAATAAGAAGAATAAAATAAAAAATGTATACCCTGATATGAGATGAAGGATGTTGTGTTAATGTCGACGATGCTAATTTCTTTTGTTCTCTAATTACAAGATTGCAGGTTAGAAAACACGTGGGTTATAAATATTATAAAAAAATAAAATAGTTTAAAGTAAATAGAACTTACATAACATTAATTTCGTCACCAAGAACGCCCCAATTGCCGTTACCAGCTCCAGATTTTTTTGGCTGACCACGTATATCTGTTAACGTCCCGCTAAAAAAAGAAAGGGTTGAATATTATGTTGTCATATATATCAGATATTGTAAAATATATATTACGTAAACTACGTAAATTACGTAAAATATTTATAATAAATACCGTTGAAAATGTTTTTCATGATTAATATATTTCTTTTGATCGAATGGCATTTTACACTTTAGAATTATGGGAAAAAATTATCGTATATAAGAAAGAGAAAAAAGTTGAGACGATTGTTTTTATTATGCGTTTTAGTTATCGTAATTGCTTTTTTTGAAATAGAGGGTTAACTTCTTTTATAGATATTGAAGATCAAAATTCCCACACTAGGCTTTTAATTATGATTGTACAAGAAGGTCAGCAGATGTCTTGTGGATTCTCGTAAATTCTAGTCAAGGGAAAATAACTCCATTTATGTAAAAATCTGCAAATGACTCATCATTGTAATCATTAGCTATGCTGATCATTAATTATTTCTTCACACGATAATACATAAGTTTCGCTAGTTTTGGATCAATGGCGTGAGTCTCTGAGAAAACAATTTATCTGTTTGTTTGTACGTGAGTCATCTACCGGTTTTGATTATCTACACTAAAATCTAAGGTTTCCCTGTGACGTATTGTTGATCATAACGATAAATCATTCACCACGTATACGTATATATTCACTATACGTATCAGATATACATTCACCATATAAGCTTATATTCAACTACTGAACTATATATATATATATATATTCACATTCACTATATATATTAGGCTTACACAACTTTATTAGCATCAATAAATCAAATAATTGAATCAAATAATCGAATCAAATAATTGGATCGAATCAAATAATTGAGTCAGAGAATGAACAATTGAATCGTGGCTAATAGAGAATGGAATTCTTGTTTACTCGATTGTTTTCTTCGCCCCATAATTCCGTACGTACGTACATTTGTTTGAATGTTTAAAATATATACTATTGTACTTTTTTAAGTACCACCACAAATAATATACAACGAACGTTTCCGAATGACGATAAAGCTGCACAAATGTTTCGCATCCAATCTCTCTTTTATTTCAGTGTGACAAATTACATCAGTATAATTTTTACATATTTGATTGGTCCATATTACTTCACTTTAAAAGCGATGTGGGGTCTTTGCCTTGAAAATGACCTTACGGTATCATGTACCGTAAGGTCATTTTCAAGGCAAAGACCCCATGTACTTATTCTAATAAAATGGTTTTCTTGGTAAACATCCTTCTAAGTCTAATACGAAAACCTAACAACAAATTTCTTAGATATCAAAAGTTTTTCTTAAACAATGCAAGCCCCTAACGCCGTTACGATTTTAGATTTATTTTTAATTTCTAACAGCAATTTCGTTGTCTTCATGTAAAGTTAATACGTAGTTATTAAAATGTATACGTCTGCATCGTCGTGCATCTTCTTGATCGGCCAATAAAAAAATGCGGTACGAGTAAGCCACATGCATGCGTTCTACGTAGAAGCTTAGTAAATTAGTATATATATAGTATATACTGTATATTTTCTTATTTAAGTTATATTTACAGTATATATCTTAAATATATTGTAACACATGTTATTGTATATCTACATAATATCACAATTAACCGAATAAAAGCAGACGACCAAGAGGTTATTAATCAAAGAAAAAAAAAAAGCCTAGATACAAAAAAGAGCAAAGAGATACAAAAAAATCAAAGATAAAAAAAGAAATAAAAAAGATAGGAATATTATTGTAGTGCTATAGTGCCGCGATGCTACTCTTACGTAATCAGTTTATATTAAATAAAAAAATTTCGACCTCGATGAACATAGTGCCACGATGCTACCCTTATGTAATACATTAAATAGACTTTGATACTAAATAACGGCATACTTTGATCAGCTATATAAAAAAAACTTTTTTTGCATTTGACCTTTTTGCTCAATCGTTCTGTATTTAATTTCTTCCTGCTACGTTGCTTACACT